TTCAGCTTTGCAACTAATAATTTTTTATTTAAAAAAAATTAGCGAGTAACAAATAAAAAAACTACGTTAATTTATTTACTTTATTTATTAAAAGTTTATTATTTTTTAGAGCGATTTTGTTGTGAAAGCAAAGATTATTTTTCTAAACACCATTTATTAAAATTATATTGCTGTATTTATCATTTATTAAAAATTAATCGGTGCGCTTTAACTTGCATTATAAAAAAAAAATTTAATTTACATTTTGTGCAAATATTTGGTGCAGCCTCGAAACACATTCATTTAAAATTTAATTTGAGTAAAAAAAAAATCTTTATGAAAAAAAACTGAAAAAGCAATAAAAATGAGCTAATTTTTTTTAAGAATAAATAAAATTTAAATATTGAAAACTTAAATATTTAGTGACATGTTTATATAAATTTGACAGTTAAGTTAAACTCAAGCATTAACTTTAATTTTAAGAAACTTAGATATATTTTTAATCAAAATTAAATTATATATTTTCAGAGTAAAATGATATATTTTTATTAAATTAGTTTTAATTTAAATCATATTTTTTCAGAATTAAATTATATAATTATAATATTTGTTTCAAGCTTTTAAGTATTAGTGTTTTACTAGAGAAAAAATTACAATAAAATAAATAAAAAGATAAAAATCATGACATAAAAAAGATATAATAAAATTAAACTTTTTTTTTATTAAATAGAAATTCAAGTAAATTTTTTTAAATGTAATCAAAAGGTATATAAATATTCTTGTGCTACGAAATGATAAATAAAAGTTTTTACTTTATTTCTTTTATGGTTTTTTTTAAAGTTTTGTTTAATAACTTCATATAAAAAAAAAATTGTCGCTAACTATAAACAATTTTGTTTCCTGTTATGAAATATTTTGATAAAATAATTAGTTTAATATAAATTAGATTTTTTGTATTTTGTATTTTTAATTTTATTTGAGTTTTTTCATAAGTAAATAGCGTTTATATCTAATACAATTGTCAAACTTTTGTAAGAAACTTTTATACATAATCGTTATTCAAAAGTTAATATGGTTTTTTATAAAATCAATTACTTCTTTTATCTTACTGCTTATAAAATAAATTAAAAGTTAAAAAATGATAAAAAGACATAGATATAGAAATATTTAATAATGGAAATTGCTCTATAGAGGGAGACAAAATTGTAATGGAAATTGCTCTAGGTGCATGTAAAATTGCTTAACGCATGCGTAAACGCGTGCCGGCAGCTTAACACTTAACACTTTAACAAGGCCTGATATTGGCATTTGTATTTTCCATTTATACATTACAAATATCAAAAATATAGAAAAATTTACAAATTATAAATAAATATTGAACTATTTTTTTGGCTAAACAAAAAAACGATAAAGATCATTAAACAGGTTACTTAAGGTATTAAATCTCAATTTAGACATTTTGTTGTCATAAGTTGTGCTTATTAAGCACAATGCAATTTAACATTTTCATAATGGCCAAAACATATGTATTTTGGCCATATAATAAATTCAAAAGTAAGTTCGATTAATCCACCTAGTAACTGGATAGTTAACCAGTCATAAACCAAATTATGTTATTGTCGTAAAATACAAAAGGAATTAAGAGCTTTAAAATCAGACATTAAAAATTAATATTTTTTCTACCATTCAAAATGAAAAATTGAAAATGTGTCTTTAAAAAGTGTGAAAATGTGTCTTCAAAAAATATATATTTTAGTTAAAACACGTTCATGTTAAATAAAGTTATGGAAACAATGAAATAAAGAATAAATATAATATAATTTAAAAAAAAAACTTTCTTATTTTACATTTCATTTGGAAAGAGTCTATTCACCAAAAAAATTTTAAATTTAAAAATACAGTCATTTAATAGATACAGCCATTTAACAGATCATTTACTCGAGGTTAAAAATTATTAAAACAAAGAAAAAAAATAATCATAAAATAAAGCTTGCCAAAAAAGTGACATATTACTTAAGTTTTACATAAGTTTATTTTTGTTTTTTTTTTAATATTTTTTTATTAATTAAACAATTGATGATAATATATTAATAATAATAAATATTATTTATATTTGATTGATGATAATATATTAATAATAATAAATACTAATAAATATTAAAAGACATGGCGGTTGATAAATAGTTAAGCAATTAAAGAAAAATTTCTCTCTTTTAAAGAAATTTTTCTTGCTTTTAAAGAAAAAATGTTATCGTTAATGCTCTTACTTTTTAGTCTAGATTTAATAAACAGGGGAGGGGGGAGGGGGTGTTTAATAAAAGAGGAATTTTTTCTTGATACATATAATATAATATAAGTACTTTTTATAAAAAAAATTAGTTTATAAATCCAAACTATTTAATTCTAGCGCGGTCAAATTCACATTATAGAATAGCTGTTTTAGCATAATTTCAATAGGATATAATGCGCTGGATTAAGATTTACCAAGTCAGCTATTTTTAAAACCTATTTACACTGAAGATTTTTGTTTTATCAATGACTAAAAGAATTATTTTTTAATTTTTAAGGCCGATTTTCAGTGACATAATTTTTTTTTTTCAGTTTTGAGATATAAAGTTTTTGCTGACAACAATTAAAAGTTAATAAATGGGGGAGGGAGGGATTGTCTTAATAAGCTTGAGGTGGGTGGAAAAGTTTTCCAAAATTTAATAAACATATCCCCCCCACCTTTTATTAAGGACTCGAGTGTAATATAGTTTATAAAGAAATTCTTTAATGAAATTTTTTAACTTAGAATTTTTTGTTTTTTTCAGTAATTTTAATTTTTAATTTTATTTCTTCAACACTTATAAACACTTATTAGGTATGAAAGATAGAGAACACTCATCATATATGTATGTATGTATATATATATATATATATATATATATATATATATATATATATATATATATATATATATATATATATATATATATATATATATATATATATATATATATATATATATATATACATATATATAATGCCCACCTAGTTTCTATGTTTTATGGTAATAAATGCCGACCTAATTTCTATATTTTAATTTGATAAGATTTATTTACTTTCAGTGGCTCCACTTCACTTCTCAAATTAAATATCATTTACAAGTGTAAAAGTTTGCTAAAAATGGGTGCCATAGGCACCCACGAACATTCTAGTATATTAATAATTACTATTAATAACTTTGCTTCTTGTTAAACTATAAATAACTTTGCCTTTAACTTTAAAAGTAAGTAAAAAATTTTTCTCTAATAAATAAAGTGAAAATTGACAAGCAAAACTCTCTGAAAGCAAAAACATTTACAAAATATAATTAGGGTTGGTTTAAAAAAAGATTCCAATGTATTTGGTTTAAGTCCTGCTATTGAATTATGAGCAAATGATGCAATCCAAAGGCTTGCCCAATCAGAAAGTGAGAAAAAATTAAAAGAAATAATTTCCTGATGAATTAAATATTAAACAGCGTGAAACATTTATCTATTTTACCTTTTCTTTATTTTTGAATATTAAAAAAAAAACTGATATCTTGTTTTAACAAAAAAATATTATAACATGCAGAAAAGAGAAACAGTTTAAAAAATAAAAAGATCATTTAAAATTAAAAAATTCAAAATTATTCTTGTAGTTTTAAAACAAGCGTTATGAACAAATGAAATAAACTTTGTTAATTATTTGGCATTAAAAACCACTATAATGTATTAAACAAAAAAATCGAATTGAAAATTTTACTTAAAATTTGATCATAAGAAAAACAATTTGATTACATATTTTTTAATTTTAAATATTAGACATTTCAGTTTTTTTACAGCTTATGGTCATAAAAAAAATTTTTTATTCTACAGTTTAGGTTCTTAATAATGTGGTTTTGTAACAACCTTGAAAAAAACATTTTATTTAAGATTGGCATTCTTAAAAAAATTGATTCAAAAAAGGCGTATTTTAGAACTTTATTTCTAAACTACTTAAACAAATTATTTTCAAAAGGTCTGGAGAACACACTACTCCCAAATATCTTAACTATCATCCAATCAGTCTTCATATTATTGTCCAATAAGTCTTCATACTATTGTCCAATCAGTCTTCATACTGTTGTCCCATCAGTCTTCAAACTATTTTTATATCTAATTAATCTTTAGCAAGGTCTTTGAGTCTTTTATTAAAATTGATGGTGTTAATAACATTATTTGTTGTACTCAAGATAATGAATTTCGAAGACTTCATCTTGAATCCAACAACTTAACAATCAATAAAGACTTCTATCTTTTTGTTCTACTCCTAATTAATTAATATTAGAAAAGTTAGAAGCAGTAGGCAAGGTATATTGGTCTTGACATATCATGGGCTTATGTTTTCTTATCATGGTTAATGCTCAACTAAGCTTTTTTTTTACCAATAACCAAAACACTTTCAAATGACTTGTAATTCAGCAAAATGTCATTTTTCTACTGAAACTTCTTCATGGTCTATAAACTTTTATTTATCAAGTTATTGACTTTAATATCTATGATTTAAAATTTTCTCATTTTTTAATTTGCTCATTAATTTTTTCACCTTCTAGCAACTTTTAACTTGCTTTGCTGGCAGGGAATAAGTAAGAAAAAATTTTTTTTTCACTTTGAAAATAATCATTTTAACTTAAATTAATTTTACTTTAAAGGGATCACAAAGACTATGTATGTATATATGTATGTATGAAAAAAAAATCAAAAACCAAACAAAGCATTTTAGTACATGATATCATAAATTTTTTTTTTGGAATGCATTTATTCTATTGTTTTAGTCAAAAAAAACTAAATGTTTTTTTTTTTTATTATTCTCTTTAATATGAACATATCTTGGCAGATTTGGTATCCATTTTATTTAACAAAAAATCACTGCACTACAAAAAATATGCACACACACACAAAAAGAAATTAAGTTTTTACCATTTGATTTTGATTTCAAAATAAAATTTTTTGAATAATTAAAAAAATAAATACCCCATTTTAAATCATAAAAGAACTTTTGTGGTGACATATTTTTTTTTATTGCAATGTTGTTCCAAGGATGACCAATAGGCAAGAAGACTTCATAAGTTGCTAAAAATATTATATATATATATATATATATATATATATATATATATATATATATATATATATATATATATATATATATATATATATATATATATATATATATATATATATTAAACTTGCACACAAACAAAACAATATATATTAGTAGTGTAAAAATTTCAACTAACAAATATTAAATAAAATTTATGCTTTTTAAAAATAAAGTAATAATAAGTTAAAAGTAAAATAATAAATAATATACTTGTTATATTTACAGCAGATAATTAAAAAACAAAACTGAACAAACACAATAGATTATCTCTAGATTACTGATTTCAAAATGTTTATTAGTTTTCTTAGTGCATGAACATAAATTAAAACTGTACAAATTAATAAAATTTTTATAAATCATTGATTGCTAAAATACCTTGAGTAGCACATACTTCAGCTCCTATAACTAAACCACGTGCTGAAAAGTTTTCCATAAATATTAAAGATTGAGGATAATCTCGAATTTGAACCTAAACAAGATTTCATATTTTATTACTCCCATTTAACAAGATTTCATATTTTATTACTCCCACTTTGCCATAGCATTTTTTCAGTTTTAAAAAAGGCTTATAAAACAATATACTGATGTATAGATAAACATCATACAATGATGCATAGATACTAGAAACATATTAGAAACTATCACTATTGAATTTGACTATGAATAGATTGCATTGATCTAGGCTGAAAACTGCTTGTCAGGTTTATATTTTATTCACACTTTAACACCAAAACTAAAAGAGAGATTTTAGCAAATGAAACAGTTAAATTAACTCTAGCATTTTATAATCAAACAAGAATACAAACAATTAAGCCAAATAAAATGGCAGAAGAAATCATGACATTTAATGAATTAAAAAAGTCTGCTAAAAATTGACCATACCCATAGAAAAAGTTTTAATTACTTATCATCAAACAATGTTGTATAGATAAACATCAAACAATGTTGTACAGATAAACATCAAACAATATTGTATAGATAAACATCAAACAATGATGTATAGATAAACTTCAAACAATGATCTATAGATAAACTTCAAACAATGATCTATAGATAAACTTCAAACAACGATGTATAGATAAACATAAGTATATTGATAATTTAAAACAACCAACTTTAATTATCCTTATAAATAAGGCAAACTTTTTTGGTTTTATGGTTTGCCAACAATAAACAATAAAAAGTATTCAAAAGACACCATGCTGTCAAAATACATATGGGGATTGAAAGATAAAAATATTGATGATTTTGTTTTGATTTGGTCCATCCTTAAAACAGCACCTGTATATAATATTTCCAAAAAATGCATACTATGCCTTCAAGAAAATTTAAAATAATTACACGTGAAAAAAACTTTTAAAAAACTATAAAAATAAGTGACCTCAAAAAATAATTATATCAAATCCCGCCTTTGATAATATATCTAAAAAAAAAGCAGAAGTAAACATTTCTGGAAAATTCTTTTTAAAATAGTGTCAGCCATAGATGTAGGTTTTGAGACTAAAGTCTTGATCTCAAGACACCTTGAGACTTGAGACTGTCTTGGTCTTGGTCTTGAAGCCTAGAGTCTTTGTCTTAGTCTTGATCTTGAAAGCCTAGAGTATTGGTCTTGGACCTCTACTGTCTTTTACTTTCTTGATTCTTACAAAAAATATCAACTCAATAAATAGATTAGTTGTTAATAACAAACCGTAGATTGCCACATCTATGTGTGTATGTATGTATGACACACAGACACATATATTAGTAATTTTCGATAGTTACTAGTCACTGGACTGCTTTGTATACTCTTAGCTCATTTCCATTTGTTTTTGTGCTTCCCCGCTTTGGTTCTACTCTGTTTTTATTCAACCTTCTTTCTTTACTCATGTTTTTTCAGTTTTATGTTTGTTTTCTTTAAAATTATTATATCAAACTTTACATTTTACTTGTTATTTAGAATTTTCTTTTGATATATTTTCAAATCACTATTTTATTAAAACAATTAAAATATTAATATTTTTAATTGTAAATAGTTGTAAACTGCTTTAATAATAAAGTTCATTTGTTTCTTTTTGTAATTATGAACAAAATAAACTTAAATTTTAATAAACAATTCTTTTTACAGACTTTTTAATAGATATCAGATATAAATAATAAATAGATATTTAATAGATACCTTGTCAAGAAGCATTAGCAGTATGAATTAGCGATTTCACCTACATGTTAAGCCAAAACCTTTTTCAATTAGATAATTATTTAAACTGTCTTTTTAAAATAGTTTATGCGAAAAACATTAGGCAGTAATTGTTTTAAAAAACATTTGTGAAATATTTTTTTTATTAGATTAAAAAACAGATTGAATAAATATTTTTTTATTTTCCATTTTTGACAAAATTTTCATTTTTAATTTATTATATTTAAATTAAATTTATTATTAAATATAAATCTATTTTATTGAAATTAATTTAAATTTTTTGAAAAATTTTAAAATGTTCTATTTTACAATTTTTTTTTTACTACTAAAATTCCCAAACATAGTTAAAAGAACAAAAATTTTTAAAAATAAGTTTAATTCAAGTCACTTTAAAATGTTCCTAATACATTTAACTCTTTTGTTTATTTATTTATAATTTCAAATCAACATTTTTTTCATTCTGTTACAAAAGTGCTTAATGCACTTATAACTCTATATAAATGCATTGTCAGATAAACCATAAATATCCATGTAGGCAAAATTATTAGATTTATTAAAAATATTTTAGAGAATTTTTTCAGTACATTTTATATAATAACAAATTTATGAAAAGATTTTTTCAGTTTTGAAATTGCTTTTTAACAAAAGGTTTTTCTTTATCATTAATTTTTTGATCATAGAATGTACGTTGATTAGAAATGATTAACTAGTTTATGAGTAGTTTTTAAGAATAAAGATTTTTTTTTTTCCAAACAACATTTAAAATTTATTTATGATTTTTTTATATTAATATTTTTTAATTTAAACAAAAAAATTCTTTGTGTTTCAAAATAACAAAGTTCTTAATTTTCTATATTTTATTTTACAAATTTAATTCAATGATATTTTATAGAGATTTACAATGATTTTGAATGTGGTTTCAAATTAAATTTAATTATTTTGTTTAAATTAACAACTTTAAAATACCCAACTGATGTAAATATGTTTGTTAAGCAAAGTTACATTTACTTGCATTATGCTTTTTTATTATGCAACAAAATCTCATAACAAGGCCTAAATTATCTTATACATATTGTTTTCATTTTTTGTAAATATGTAACATTTATGTATGAGTTATGTCCTCCTTCGGGTCAGGGTCTCAATAAATAATGATTATTATGCAAAATTTGCTATTTATTGCTGTTTATTATTTGTTGTTTATATTAAAAATAAAAACAAACAGGAAAAATCGGTAAATAACAAAACCAAAATGAAATGTGAATAAAATAAAATGAAATGTGAATAAAATTCTTTTCTTTAAATTTTGTCAGCATTTTAACATGCTGAAAAAATTCAAATTTAATTAACACAATGAATTGGTTCTTATGTCTAAATTTATGTTGACTTTTGAGTATGTAAAGGAAGCAGTAATCTTGAGTAATTATAACAATAAAAAAAAACTGTTAAACTTATTTCATTTTTTATTACTTACAGCATGATGTTACATAACAATCATGTTTAATTTTATTTTTTATACCATAACATAAAACAGGCTTTGCCAACATGACTTACTATATAACAGGTCTTGCCAACACACATTTAGCATAAAAAACTGGAGTTTAAAAAATTACTTAGTAGCAATTTACATCTTCAAATGATTTTTGCCTGAATATTGTACTTGTATATACCTATAGTATAATGTAGTAAAGTATTATAACTGAAGTATTTTATGAAAAAACAAAAGATTTTTATAAAATACTTTTAGACTTAATAATTGTTTAATAGAATTTGATAATTGTTTTTTATGTGAGTTTTTTTTTAATCTTATATTTTACTCCAGTCACAAGTAGACAAGGCCTAGAATATAGTAAGTCTTGTTTTGAACAATTTTTAATTGTTAAAATGTTATGAACAAAGTTAACTTTATATTTAACTATTTTGTTTCAACAAAGTTTACTTTTTATTATTTTATTATTTAACTATTTTAAATGTTTTAAACATAGTTAACTATATAATTTTAGAACATTTTTTTTTTAAGTTGTTGGTGAAAGTTGTTGTAAACTTCAAAATGTTAAAACTTTAAAATTAATGACACAAAATTTCAGTCAAAAAACATTTCTGTAGAAACTTCTCCATCGAGAAAAATTTGCATTAAATTTTAAATGAAATTATTTAAGAGAAATTAAACAAAAAACACAATATTTTGAGCTTTTTTCTCTAAATATTTTTACTTTGCATGGGCTTTTATTGTCCATTTAAAACTAAAGTACATGGGTCTTAAAGCAAGCATGGACAAATACCTGCTACCCCCAGAAGAATCTTTACATGCTTCTAATAAACATTTTCAGAGACTTTAAAGTTTCTAGAAAAATTTAAAATAAACTTAAAATTTGGTTCTTTCATTTTAACAATTAAGTTATTATAAAAAAAATAAAATTATAAATTTTTTAAATATAAAATGATATAAAACTATATATAAAATATATAAATATATGATAAATAAATAAAAACTTTCTCCCCTGGTAGTGCCAAGCTCATCTCAGAACTTAATATATGATAAATAAAAAAAAACTTTCTCCCCTGGTAGTACCAAGCTCATTTCAGAACTTAATATATGATAAATAAAAAAAAACTTTCTCCCCTGATAGTACCAAGCTCATTTCAGAACTTAATAGTTTTACTTAGTTTACATATTTTATTAAAGTTTTACAAAAGTGAATGTGAATATTAAGTACATAAAGTTAAGACTTTATTTACCTTTAAAATGTCAAACTTTCCATTAACCATTCGAGCCCACAATGTTGAAAACTCTAATTCTTTAGGAACAGCACTTAAAATAAAAAAATACTTTGAATAGGTAACTCTATAAAATCATTAAGAAAATCATTTATAAACGTAGATTTAGCAGTGCAACAAAAAAAAAAAAAGTTTTTATTTATATTTAAATATTAGAACTTTTTATATAATTAAAATTAACTGGTATATATATTTTTTATTTCTCTTACAACAATTTTGAACAGAAAAAAATTAAATACTATTACTACCGTTCATCAACATTTTCCATTTCTTGTAGAATATTTTCTTTTTTATTTAAGTGATGATCTGAATGTACTGCTAGTTCCAGGTCTTTTATTCTACTAACAAACAACAACTTTCGTTGGGGACGATCATCATACATCTCCTAAATTTGTTTAAACATTTTCTTAATAAAAAGTATTTTTAAATTCAATTTATGTTTTATTAACTCACTAAATTTTACTCACCACTTTCATGGTTAATTCATTACCAAAAAAAACTTGTATAGTTAATAACAAATATATTAATAATAATTTTAAAAACATTAAAAACTTATATTAAAATACTTTGTGTATAATTATACTTTGCTTCAAACAATAAATGATGTTTTTAAGGTTAAATTATGTTAATAATATGTAAAAAAATTCTGTAGTCTAATAGTATATACAAATAAAGGGCTTTTAACATTTATATATTATTTTACTTGCACTAAACATGAACTTTTTTTTGAGCTTTTCTTTCTTCAACTAATTCATTGGACATAAAATTTAGAGTTTAAGTTACTAGATAAGGTTTCTTGTTTTTACGATTAAAGTACATCAATGCCATATCAAAACGAGAGTTCCAGATTAAAAACCATGCAAAATCCGTCCATACTTAAAATATGGTCTAGCTTAATAGCTACACAAGCTTTATTAATAATAAACACACAATCTTTTATTAAAAAAAGAATAATTTAAACTTCTAATACCAAACAAATAAGCAACTCGCAGCATATTAGATTTAAAAACAATCAAAGATTGTATTTTCTGCTTTGTGCAATCTATCTACTTGCGGACTATCATCTTCTTGAATTATTAATAATCTCTTTCTCACATTTTCTTTTTATTTACTCATGATCTACTGCATGCATCTTTTCATTTACCTAATTTTAATTTACCTAATGTTAAAAATAAAGAAACCAAATTTTAATCTTATTATTTGTTTTTCAACTAATTTAATTATCTTTTAGATGACCATCATCTTTTAGATGACCATCATCTTTTAGATGACCATCATCTTTTAGATGACCATCATCTTTTAGGTTCATTATTCTTTCAATATAAATGCAACACAATTTACAAGTAAATTAGATAAATTTATGCAACAAATGTTTTTGTTTAACAAAACTTAAAAAAAATATTTTTATAATATTAAATATTTTTTTAATATAAATAATTTTTTAAATATAATATTTTAAATAATAGTAACTAAGAATAAAACAACAATAAAATAAAATGATAGTAAATTCAAAACCTAATATAAGTAAACAAAAGTAAGACAACAGTAGAAAACAAACCTTTGATCGTCTGATATAAATTAAAGCATTCCTCTCTTTTAAACTCTTTCTGAGCTCTTCTAGTTTCTTTGCTAAAAAAAAAAAAAAAAAAAAAGCCCTACATGTAAAATTATAAAAAAAAAATAACAGCCCTACATTTAAAAACCTTTAACAATTCAAATTAAGTTCTCAAGCAACTTGCATTTTACTTTATAATGACTTTAAATGGACCCCAAAAATACTTCATGAATAGCATAAAAAATACCAGCTTTTAAAAAATCCCAGCTTGTTGGTATTTCTTATAAGCTTAATAAGAAGTTAATTTTAAACAATTTTCTAGATATAATAATAAGTAAAAGAATCATCAGTCAATCAATCATTTCTTTTGTTGAATTGTATATACTAGTTTCCAAGCATTGCTGATGTTTAACTAATTATGACTATCCAAAACAACTTTTTCAGCAAATTTTTTCTTTGTTTTTAACAGTTTTAATTTTTGTGTACTAACAGCTCTTTATATTTATATTAATTTGTTATATATAAAATTGTTTTTAATAACTTGGAGGTAATATCTATAGCACTAAACTGAAGGATATTTAGACAAATTATAAAAATTAATATTTTAGTAATGTTAATCTTAAAACTTATTTTTTTAATTTAAAACTTAAAAACTGATTTCAGGATTTTTTTGGTTTTTTTAAGTTTAGGTATTGATTTTCATGTTTATTTTGCAATCAGACACTCTTCCAAATCTCTTCATTTAACGTTCTTTTGTAAATAAAGATCATACTAGATATACTAAGACCATACTAGATATAGATGTTCCTTTTTCAGTTTTGATTTCTTCAAGTTTTGCTTCAAGTTTTTGCTCCCTTTCAATAGCTTGTTCATTCTCATCAGCAAGAAGCTAAAATAAAAATAAATAAGATTGGAAAATAGAAAATATATATTCAGTATTTTACACATTTCAAACTACTAAATCTGAAAAAAATGAATTGACAAAAAAAACTTTTGCATGAAGTATACCATATAATTATCTCCTAAACGCACTTCAAATGGATCATCTTCAACTTCAAAAGAAAAATTCTAAATATAAATTATGTTTAATAATAAACATAAAAACAAATTTAACAAATAAAATTTTTTATTATATTAAATATTGAAAGTACAGTAATGTACGGATCACTTTACAGTATTGCTTAATTATAATGGATTTTTAAAATTCAATTTATTCGCCTTATTTTTGCTTTATTTTTTTAAGTAAGTCATAAGAACATATTTAATACCTTTTTCAAATAGTGCCTCAAAAATTTCTGTACTTCTTTCGGCCACTTATATCCAATTTATCCTAAATTTTAATGCAAGTTAGGAGAGTGACACGATTAGGCATTTAAAAAGATCAAAGTTTGATAGAGTTCTTAAATTTTTTTTACTATGGAACCACAAATCAAGTGTTTAATTTGGATTAAGTTGTTTGGTTTTTGTTGTAATGAGCACAATTCAGATATCATTTTTTAAATATTTCCAAGAGCTTTTAATTGGAATCATATCTGGAGAGTTTCCATGCCATTTAAGTACTTTTGTAGAAAATTTTATCACCAAACCACACCCTGGCTTGAAAAACTAGAAACTTTTCTTGCTACATTCAATTCAAAAGAATATTGATCGCGAGCAATTGCACACTATCATGGCAATGAAGAATACCAATAATTATTTTTTCATTCATTGTCATAAAATGTTATTATGTCTATAGTTTATATCCACTCAACTACATTTAGAAGACATGTATCGTCTACAGATATGGCTCTCTAGACAAGGATTTTTGTTAGAAATTTCATAGTCTTCTTCAACCAGCTAGGTTTAAATTTATTTCCTAACTTTCTTCAAATTGTCTGCCTTTAGACCATTTTTTAAAAGGCATCAGCTAATTCTATCACAATTTTCTAACAAGAAGCTCTTCTATTCTTTTGGGCCATATTTGTATCTTTTGGTTAAGGCTTAGTGTAGTTCCTGCCTTTAAACCACACATAGTTTTTCTTAATCAAACTCAAAAATAACTAAAGTTTTTGGCAATTTTCTTCAGCTTCAGTCCACTGTTTTTAAGCAAAACAGTTATTTGGCTTTTCTCACTTGGACTTAAGTTCCTCCTTGTACCCATGTTTAATGTCCTCTTTGTATTCATGTTTAATTTGTCACAAAAGATAACAATAAATTCAGTAGATTTTCAGCAAAACTTGTTTTTCTTTTCTTTCTTCATAAAACTATTTATGACTTTAAAATCAAAGGACAGGTCTTACATAATTGATCCAAAGGTTACGCGATTACATGATTGGTCCACAGGTTGTTAGTTTTATTTAATGCGTAAGTAAAATGAATATACAAGAAAATTTTGTCTGTACCAAATAGTACCAAAAACTTTTAATGAAAAAATCCAAAAATGTAACTGCACCAGTTATTTAATTCAGTTTTGTAATCAAACTTGAACTTTTAAATAAGATCCATTTTTTTCACATTTTAAATAGGAAATTTAGGTTGTATTTTATACCAGGGTGAAAACTAGCCCTGTGGGCACCCGTCAAACACAGTATTCCCAAATGCTCATAAAATTAAAATTCCCAATTTAAAGGTGAAAAAATCCAAATCCAAATCCTAAAGTTTGCCAAATTAAAGTTTAGTAATAATTCTAAAAATTATTAGAAATTAGTTGTTATTAAAAACTAAAAACTAGGAAAATAACATGAGAAATTCTTATTTAATTATTGTGTAAAACTGGAAATAAAATTGCCATTATTGGTATAACTACGCAATTGCATAACTGCAAAAATGTCTATTGGAATGAACTTCTTGAGAATTGCGATTTTTCAAGCAATTTAGGGATTTTCTCCGCAACTTGCTTCTAAAATTCATTTTGAAAAATTTGCAAATAATTCTTTGCAATGCGTTCCAACAACAGCAAATATTATATAAAAAAGTTAGCAAGAAATAAAGTACAATCTAAAAAAGTAACATTTGTAAAATAGCATTTGTGGATGTTAAACCAAACAATTTGTTTAGTTTAACACCCACAAATGCTATTTCTTTACAAGTTTCACCCTTTCTAGCCAAAAAGATAAACAGCTTATTATGTCTTACTGCAAACTCTATTTCAAGCTTATTATATATGTGTGTGTGTATATATATATATATATATATATATATATATATATATATATATATATATATATATATATATATATATATATATATATATATAATACACACATATATATACATACATTACATACATATGGTCTGCATTACTAATGATGCAAAATTGAAACAGACAATGTTATAAACTTCACATTTAAAATTAATCTCTAAAATAAACAAAAAAATAAAAAAATAAAAACCTTGCATAAAAAAAGAAGGTCAGGTGGCAAGCTTAATAAATCTGGGGGTTTAGATTTTTTGTGCAACTTTATTACCATTTTTATAACCAGCTGCAACTAAAATATAAAATAAAACCTATATAATTTATATATATATAAATTTATACACACGGACATATATATATATATATATATAT